TATATATATATATATATATAATTGTTTTTTTGCCCAGTACCACACGTCGCTCGAGTGAAAGTTTGGAAGAGCTGCGAAGTGAATCACATTATCTTCGTCTGGTACCATTCTGAATCAGCTGAACCGGATTGGCAGCCCCAACCACACACATTTGTTTCTACCGGGGCCTGGCGCTTCCAAGGTCGCAATGAATACCTCATTAACTGTCATATACAGGTTTGTCGCGCATTTGATTCTTTAATGTGATAGAAGATATATCTCTATCACGCGAAAATCATTCGGAGAAAACTAGAAAAAAAGCGTTTTCAATTAATCAAGTTTATTAATGAATCTTGAAGTACTATTAGTTCACTTGAATGTACTGTTAAGAATCATTTTCCAGAGTCATAGACGGAGTAAAAGTATTAGAGAGAAAATTACGTTCTATTTTTATATCCTCTCTACTTCTGAAAATCTGTTTTAAATAGACAATAAATTTTATGTTTGAATCTGTGCATTAGGATGTAACCGAGAATGGGCCTGATGCCATGCATTTCAACGAGCTGCATAGTCCACCTATATTCCTCTCTGGCGAATTTTCCTGGTTAGCTCGGCACTTATGGATCATCTACACAAGATGGCAACCTAACTTCTCATATGACAACCAAATGAATGAGGATGAAGATGAAGTAATAAAGACGAGTGCCAAATTGAAAGGAGTGTCAATTCATCCAATTGAAAATGACAAAGGAAATCGTCATTTCACAGTTGCGCAAAACACAGATAGAAATAGGGAGGAGCACAAGGCCAATATGCACTTATGTCATAAAGTGATGCTTTTAGAACGTTTTAGCATAATGGAGTCTGATGTACGCGCCGAGCAGATCGGACCTGGCATCATCGAACTAAATGTCAATACGTCGTTCGGATCTTTGTACATTTTGTTAACAATAACGCCAATCGAACCGCTGCTACAACGGGTGATTCATCTGATCTTCTCGCCACCTCTGTTGGCGCCACACGCTAATTTGCTTTTTCTAGGCGAGTGCATGATGTTTGAGCGTGACATTAGAATCTGGAACTCTAAGAGATTTGAACAACATCCGATTCTGGTGCACGAGGATCGTACTATCCAAGTATACCGCCGTTGGTACTCACAGTTTTACTCTGATCATAGTCCCACCTATAAGACGGCCATAAAGGATTTACAGTGGTAGCAGTACCTCCTTTTTGCAATGTAACTTGTATAATTTCTGTTATATTTGTGTAGATATTATTATTATTAATATTAATATTATCTTAGTAATAATATTAGTCATAT